GAAATAAAGATTATATTTATTGAAATTAATTTGAATAGAGAGAGCGAACGAACGAATGTGAAGCATTGCAAACAAGCTTTTCGGTTTAATTACAAAAACTGCTAAGTTATCACTTCATTGGTGAGAAATATATGTAGCTTTTAGCTGTTGTATTTTCAAAATTCACGGGGCGGGGGTTGAAAACCAGCTCCTGAATGTGCAATTTCTTATCCATCTCAATAAAATGCGAGCGCATGCAGCACGCCGGCATTAAAAATCTTTATGAGCAAACGTGTCGCCTTCGCATTGGGAGTTCTGTGGAGAATCGGATATGTGTGTTTAGACGTATGTCGGATGTCCAGATATCAGATGTGTATCCGATTAAAATCCACATTTGGAAGTGGCTCAGATCGGCTGCAAAAAAATCGGATCTCGTGCAGGTTTTTGTGTTTACACGTGTGCAACAAATTCCAGATGTGAGCGAAAGATCGGATTTTTTGTGCCAGTGTAAACGCAGCCTGAAAGAGAGCGTAAAAAGATTGTGGAATACTTTAAAAACAACGTTCCTCAACATCAAATTGCAAAGGCTTTGCAAATCTCATCATCTGCAGTGCATAACATCATCAAAAGATTCAGAGAAACTGGAGAAATCTGTGAGTAAGGGACAAGGCCGAAGACCTTTGTTGGATGTGTAGAAGATTTTTATTAATCAAAATATTAATTAAGCAAGTGCAATCATTGTGAATATAGCCATTTATATATCAAGGTATTTTACTATTATAATCATGTATTTGACTGTGTATAGAAGCCTGGATGAGAATGTAATGTGCTTACATGGTGAAGTTGAGAATGGAATGTGCAGACATATGGTTTATGGTAAAGCTGCACTTCCTGTTTTGACACAAGACAAAAAATATGACGGGGCCTCTTCCTTTAACGTAACATAAATTGGGGCCTCTTGTCTGTTTGCAGGAAACAGATTAGAGGCATAGCCAAAAAAAAGGTAAACAATGACAGGATGTAGGAAATTTATGGAACACGCCTTAAAGGAAAAACTGTATAAAAGAGTGTCCAGACACAGACTCGGGAGATTCCCTGCGGGGTCTCTCTGCTTTATTGTCTCTGAATAATAAAGTCTTATCTTCTGGCATCAAAACCCCAAGACTTTGAGAATGATTCCTCACAGCATCGGCAGAAGCCACAACAGATGCCCGTGGTCTTCGGGCCCTCAGACGACACTGCATCACTCATTGGCATGATTCTGTCATTGACATTACTAAATGGGCCCAGGAATACTTCCAGAAACCACTGTCAGTAAACACAATTCGCCGTGCCATCTGCAGATGCCAACTAAAGCTCTTATCATGCAAAAAGGAACCCATATGTGAAAAGGGTTCAGCGTTCAGGTCAAAAGCCAGCATCTCTGATGGTATGGGGGTGCATAAGTGCATACGGTATGGGCAGCTTGCATGTTTTGGAAGGCACTATGAATGCTGAAAGCTATATTAAGGTTTAAAAGCAACATATGCTCCCCTTCAGACGACGTGTATTTCAGGGAAGACCTTGGTATTTCAGAAGGACAATGCAAAACCATATACTGCAGCTATTACAACAGCATGGCTTCGTAGTAGAAGAGTCCGGGTGCTGAATTGGCCTGCCTGCAGTCCAGATCTTTCACCTATAGAGAACATTTGGCGCATCATTAAACGAAAAATACGTCAAAGTTGACCATGAACTTTTCAGGAGCTAGAAACCTATATCAGGCAAGAATGGGACCAAATTCCAACACCAAAACTCCAGAAGCTCATAACCTCGATGCCCAGACGTCTTCAAACTGCTTTGAAAAGAAGAGGAGATGCTACACCATGGTAAACATGCCCCCGTCCCAACTATTTTGAGACCTGTAGCAGGCATCAAATTTGAAATGAGCTCATTTTGTGCATAAAATTGTCAAATTTCTCAGTTTAAACATTTATTATGTTCTATTGTAAATAAAACATTGGCTCATGTGATTTGAAATTCTTTTAGTTTTCATTTTATTCAAAAATGAATAATGAAATATTCGGGTTGTACAATTGCATTTTCATTTTTAAGGGGGAGATCCCAAGTGTTCATTTAAAAGGAATAAATGAGACGAGCAAATAGGTGATCATTATATTTCATTTTATTTTTCATCACACCTGCAAAGGGAACTCACTTCCCACATTTAAAAACAAATGGCATATTAGGAGCATACTTTATTACATTAATTATGATTGAGATAAATTCACAAATGCCCTACATAGCCTTAATGTGGTTGGTAAAAAGAAAGCAGTGGTGCACAGATAATCTAGTCATGCTGTTAATAACAGAAACAATGCTGAAAAATCATGAAATCATCAAAAATGTTAAAGAAAGGTTAGGCACTATTAGCTATGTCAGCATGTCCAGTTCCATGCAAGTCTTATCCACCTTATTTTTCAATGCGGAAGTAAGCCGTTTTCTGTGAATGTGCGAGACTTCCGGTTCATTAGCTGCTGTAGGGAAATAACGAGAATAATAGCAAAGTGCAGTAAAAGGGAAAGGTGGCGCTAGACTAGGTCAAGAGAGGTGGGATAGGTGGAGCCATTTACCCATTTGCTCTGCAGCGAGCAGCCTCTCATCCATTGCACTTTGGCAACGGATTCGGTTCAGAACTACAAACACGAATAAAAGCATTAAAAACTACGAACATGGCGGATGCGCGCGACTGACAGAGGTTTAGATAAAAGGGTTTGAGTTACTCAAAATATTTATTTAATATTATTTGTCTTATTTCATCTGCAACAACAATGTAATAAACATCCGGGCCTGGTATAAGTAGGCACATTTGGACGCAGGACTATTCAATGATTATGCGGTTTCGAACGCAGCCACTGTCCTGCAGAGTTTAGTGCCAACCCTAATTACACACACCTTAACTAGCTAATCAGGGTCAACAGACTCACTAGAAACTTAAGCCAAGTTCACACTACACAACTTTAAACATCGACAGATCGCTGTGCTGTTCAGACTACATGACTAGCTGACTGTCTTGAAGTCATTGCGGTGTTCACACTACGTGACATTACGTAAATGATCCGCAACAGAGGGTCACACACTACACGAACTGACAACAACTCTCTCACCCAACGAATCTATCCGGTGCCCAAACCACGTTGAAACAGGAGTTGTTTATTTGAAAATTGACGTTGGAAGGAAATTAGTTCTGCAAACTGTTTGCGTGATGATCTGTTCTTAAAGCCATGTTGCTGCTGCTGTTTTTCTTCCGCTGACCTCTGCCCAGAGGTAGCTCGTCGCGACACCTGACACCACGTGATGTCAAGTCGGCCGACCGGTCCAGATATTTAGCATGCTATGTATATTTGTTTGGCGTCGTTGAGTAGTTCACACATAAAGACTGCCAAGAGCTGATCACCCGCTGATTTTCCCCCGATCACAGCCCGACCAGTCGACGAGCTCGTTGACTTGCAAATCGGGCTTAAAATCCTGTAGTGTGACCTTGGCTTTACTGTATGTGTTAGAGCTGGTTAGAGCTAAATTCTGCAGAACATTGGCCCTCCAAGAGCAGGATTGGACACCCCTACTCTAGAGATTACTGCAGGGGCATTCCGTCCATATCAGCTGCGAATGTTCTGCATACCCAAGCCATTGGAGAGTCACGGACTGGGTAAGTAATATAAACATGATTATAAATTGATCCCTTGTCATTTGAGATGTAATTTAAATCTTGCACGAAAAATTAGGAAT